TGAGATCATGGAACACTCATAATCAAAACATTTAATCCTATTGGCCAATAAAGACTTCGAATAGAATGAAGTCGAGAATTGTATAACTCCTAGCAGAAACTTCATCGATCACTAATTGAATTATCATAAAATATAGAAAAGTAGTCTTGCCATCGCCTCTTATCTCGTCAAGTTTCGACAAATTTACTTCGCGCGGATTGCCCCGTCACCGCCTCCTACAACGTCGACTATTGATAAAAGAGGCGTGTTACATAAGAACACAATTTCCGAACCCGGAATGCTATGGAGCTGTCTTTTGGTTTATAGGAGTTTATCAACGTACTCTTTCTTTTCCTCTCTATATAGTTTTTTCCAAAACGCTACGAAGTATGACTTCTAGAAATCCTTGGTTTTTGAGCTATTTGTACTTCTTAAAAAGGACTTTCATTTCGAGCAGCAAAGTATCTCTTGATTCAAATCACTTTTCACATTTTGGTGCGAATAGTAGCGCGTTTTAAGTGACGCCACTATTCGCGCCAAAATGCGAAAAGTGATTTGAATTAAGAGATACTTTGCTGCCCGTCGATTCACATAATAAGCTCTTCAGAAAAAAAATTTGGACCGATTCTGTTCCCCGTATAAAAAGCCGATTTTCTGATTTCTGAGATTCTAATGGAAAATCTCTGTTAAGACATGAATTTGAATGATAGATCGGTTGTATGTCAATAAATTGACTGCAGGAAATGGAGACGTCTTTACAAGGGCAAGTCAATGTTTTTGGATATTTGTCATATAGTTTGTCGATATTTGGATTCAGCGCCACAAGACGGACATTTTGAGGAAAAAATCAAGTCTCCAACTAAGAATTTCAATTTTTGAATTTAATTGAAAATTAAAAAGTTCAACGTTTTTAAAATAAAATTAGTTCAGTTCAATCAGAAAGGAGATAGAAACTTGATTCAAACGTGGTTGGATAGAGAATTAAAGACTGATTTTAATAACGCTGGCTCAATCGGCAGCTGAAAAACCGAAACTTTCCGACGTCCTCTGCCAACATCACCAAACTTGTATCCACAACCAGACACAATACAAGACACCATAATGCTCAGAATATTTGCAGCACAAATTAGAAGTGAGTGATTTTGGTTTGTAAGAAGAAGAAGAAAATGACTGTCTGAGTAAGGAACTAATCTTGTAGCCTGTCAAAAGGCGGTTCGAATGGTGTATAATAGTGCCCGTTTATTTTCAAAACCAGGGAGGAGATAGGTTTGCAAGACCGAGGTCTCAATGTGGGTCTGACATCCACGGACGGCGATAGGCGGAGGTCAAAAATTTTCCAGAGTCACTTGAATCTACTAAACTTTTGATGCTGAATTCAAATAAAATAGAGTAATTTTCTTAGTTTTCTGGGAAAAGAACGAAGGGGAGATCTTGTTGTGGGGTCTATTGTTTATTTGCTTAATAAATCTGTTAAGTAGATGCGAGCTGATTACTTTGAGCAGTATTACCAGTGATATCGAGCGATGTCGCGAATGATATTTCCGTTGTAGATTTAAAACTATCAACAAATGCTTATGATTCAGTTTCAATACTCTGTTCTGTCTGAATAGTTGAACTAATTAATTGAGTAACACCAGCCTCATTCAAAGCGTTATGTATTGTTTCATTGGAGAGTGTGCATAATATAGCTAACATTTCGAAATAATAACTAACTAAAAAACCAAAAGGCGAAACGGGCATTGAATAATTATACACAGTCGTCGCTTCAAACCTCGAAGGAACTTGTGGACGTTTAATAGTATCAATCCAATCAGTGGATACAAATCTGCTTTTACACACTTCATTGTATCGTGGTGTAAAACTTACAAATGTAGAATAAAGAATTGAAATTGTTGAGCATGGACAACTCAAAGTTTGTGGATATTTTTTCAGTAGTTTTCGATACGGATCTAATGATGGTAATGGAATGGTGACTGTATTTTGAACAATAATCAACGAAGAGTAGCTAGAGAAATGAGATAAATAGTAGAATAATAAATAATCGTGTTGAAATTTGCTCATTCTTTCGCTCATGTTCGTCCGTAGATGCAGCAGATTTTGATTCAAATAAGTTTAATGAACGAATTGAATATTTTAACGTTTCATAGTATTGCCTCATAACTGTACCATGAATAAGAGCCATTTCTGAGATGAATAGTTCAGAACAATCTTAAATAGTGTTAAAACAACTCATCATCATATAATTACTTTTCTTCTTTATTGATAAAAAATAATTATTTGGTCCATTGTTGGTTTATTCCAAAAATAAAGTCAAACAAAATTTCAACAACAAGCGACAAGATCTTAAGAAAGTCTTAATTTATTGAAAACTTTTTTCTAAGAGTCACGTCGCGATTTAACTATCACGGCGTGAACGCTATGTTTTCGCTATATCGCGACGCGATCGCTATTGAGTCGCGAAGTCGCGGCGGGATCTTGAAAAATTGTTATCTGGCGAGAAGAGCAGTTTTTAAGAGTCATGGCGCGACTGTTGTGATCGCGAATTTTAACAGACGTACTCTGCTTAGTCGCGGCACGACTCTTGTTGTAACAAGCTTTTCTTCAAAAGACTTGCGTAGTCGCGTCGCAAGTCGCGATTTTTATCGCTAAGTTGCGGTATAAGTAGAGGAGTTTTAAAACGTCGCATCGCGAGTCTTGACTGTTCTGTGCTATACTTATATTATCTTTCTGAACTTACATAACACACACATAGTGAGCAAAAGAAAGAACAGGCCACGTGTATGTGTGTTGTACGCCAGAAAGTACGTGAAACACGAAAGTGCATAAAACATGATTTAAATAATCTAGAAATATTTGTTTTCGGTTGCTCATTCGATTGGTATGATAAATGTGGTATTTTGGAGTTTAAATAACTTCAGGCGAATCAAAACAGTAGGTGCAGGTTTGGCCAAAACAGGCGTTTCTGGCTATATTTCGACTTTTACGATACTTAGGACTGGCTTTTTTCAACTTCTAACTACATTCTATAGCAGCATTTAGAGCAAACAAGTTTTTATTAAAAGAACATAAGTTTAGAAAGAAATGATGTCGAGATATCAGACGCCTCATATTGACATGAAATCTCGAAAGAGACCTCCACGCATTTTGTTCATTCTTGATTTCCCTACTCAAAAACATTTATCAAACATACTTTATACTCATTTTGTAGAGCATCGAAAGCTGCATCATTGCATTAGAGCATTCATAACGGATATTGCTATAAGATCATTCTCAAACTAAAAGCTGATGGAAAGACTAACTGTTTCCTTATGGATTAATAACTAATCAATAAAGTTCAAAACTTCTTACCCAAACTGTTCTAATTGAGAATGTAAAAAAGATGCTGTTGAATGTAAAAAAGACAGGTTGAATCGAGAAAGGTGCCCATCGCGTATTAATACGAGCACAGCAGTACTGTGCTTTACACTTCGTTTACTATCAATAAATTCAATCTGTCACGTTATCTTAATGCCTCGAACATACGTCAAAAAAGACCAAGGGTCGCGTTATTCAAATGATGATTTTCATTCATTTTTTTATTGATTAGTTATTAATCCATATGGAAACAGTTAGTCTTTCCATCAGCTTTTAGTTTGAGAATGATCTTATAGCAATATCCGTTATGAATGCTCTAATTGTGTTGGATTTAATAATTCCCAGTCCTACTCTTGTATATTTTGTACAGTCAAAAACTCAAACATGTTTTTGGAAGATTCTTAAATAAACTTCATTTCTACTTATGCTT